TGAATCATGTTTCCAGCATCCTCAAATTTCTTGCCAACTTAATATCAAGCCGTCAAAGCAGAAAATAAAATTTCACCTCATTATATTAATTCTCCTTTTAGATAATTAACTGAAAATTTGCCAACTTGGAGATTGGAATAGTAAAATCGAGCAAACATACGTCTCTAATGATACCGAATACCAAACACAAATCACCAAGTAATAAATACCCTCTTAACCATCAATCATATGGTTTAGTAATAAAATTATTTGTAATCTTAACCACAAGTTTAGGATTCAATCCCTAGTCCCTGGGTACAAAAAAACAACAAATACCCTCTTAAACATGTTGATACAACCACAAGACAAACTATCAAATAACTAAACTGAGGAATGCTACTCCCCTATATAAGTCAGCTTACCTAAGCAAGAACAGTTTCGTATTGATTTTCTTCTTGGCGACATTCATGCATCTAGTGTCGGTGATTAAAAACAATGAGTAAAGTTCAAGAATGATACTTATCAGCAGAGAAAACTTTAAAGGCTTCAGGAACAAAACAAAAAGCAAGAAAAATAAGGAAGGCAAATATCTATCACTTGGTTTTGAGGTGAAGGTCGAGATTCAAATCCAACCAATAACTAACAAGTCATAATATAATTAGGTACTAAAGGAATGCCATCCCTTCATCAGCTCATCATAATCAAACAGTAGTCAAGATATTTTAGAATTTAGATGAGACTAAAAAAACTGGATTTTTTATGTGAAGAAAAATAGCATTAAAATCTACAGTACAGGTGTTTGCTACACGCCTACACCCCTATGTCTTAAGCATGGTTGGTTTTGGGTCTATTCAAGATTCACAACCATTTCTGTGTACCATATTCCAATACTAAGGGAAATATACCAGAAACAGATTATAGCACTCAAAAATGCTAAGATTGATTCTTATCCTCAGCCTTATTTATATAACATGGACGTTTTTCAGCACCCATTCACGAATTACTTAAGAAACCGTTTATCTAAAGTAAATCAGTTCAAAACTAGCCAATATGT